GAAACTGGGTCATTTGCTTAAAATTGTTATGAATTGCAGCACCCCAGGTGGATCCTGTGTGACGTGGGCTATGCAGATACCACCCAGCACCACCACCATGCCCACCAGTTCTCTCCTGCTGATGGGTCTGGTGCTGAAGAGGGGGAAAGCAGCCAGCATCTCTCATCTTGGTGGTCTCAGAGCCTGAGGATTGCTGCTTAGCACCACCATGGGTTTAAAGAGGGGAGGTTCAGATGGGATATTAGGAAACATTAATTCTCCAAAAGAGCAGTAATGCAGTGGCACAGCTGCCCATGGAGTGGTAGGGTTGCCATCCCTGGAGGTGTTCCAGAGAAGTGGGAATGTGGCAATGAGGGATGTGGGCAGTGAGCATGGTGGGTTGGGGTTGGGATTGGGGATCCTGGAGGTCTTTTCATTTTTTGGAGTGATTATACAATTGTATGAGAACAGAAGGGAGTTCAGTTCAGCTCCTGGACTTGTATGCCAGGCTTAGCTTGGCTGTAAGCCTTGTGGTCAGAAGGATTGCTGTTTCTTGACAAAGCGAATGTTTTATGATGAATCAGCTGTTGTGTCTGTGATAACAATAGCAATTTGAATGGGGCTTTGTTAAGACTGGAGTGGAATAGGAGAGAATGCTGAGGGAAACTTCATCTTCAGAGGAAAATGTAGCTACAGTATGGTCATGGGGAGAAAACAACTCCATCAGGTAGGTAGTGATTTCAGAAGGAGGGATTCAATCTTATGTTACCACGACAGCTGAAATATCTCTGTATCAGCCCAGTTCTTATCCAGAGGGTCAGAGTTGGGCACTGCAGAAGAAGAGCCACGTTACAGCACAGAGCTCCTGCTGAAAAGGCAGAGATAAGACATGGAGGAAGGACTGCCAACTGCACTATGAATGAATTTCCTATGCAAATAGATTGTATAGCAGAAACATCCAGAATTAGAATGAGCCAAGCTTTTTTCTAGAGCTATTAATCATCTTGCTTCAGGGCTTTCAGCCAGTCTGTTGGAAATGAGGGGAGAATTTAACAATTTCTTTTGAAAGTTGCTTACTAAAGTACACTTAGTCCTACAGCAAACACGTGGTGATGTGAACAACTGGAAGGTGTTTGAGGGTCAGGGCCTTTGCAGACACTGTGATATTGGGGTCTGTTGGTGCTTCTGTCACCCATGGGCTGAATTCCCAGGAATATCTCCCACACCTTGGAGATGTCACTGTCCCAGAAAAAGTCTTTCTCCCATCTTGAATACTTGGCAAACAGTCACATATTAGACACAGGAGACCACAAAAAAAACAACACTGTTATATATGTCTGATCTTTTTCCTTTGTGGTATATAATATATTGAGCTGGTCCAAATTTATCCTAGGCTTCCCTTGAGCAAAACTGCAGAGCATTAACTATCTTGAGCGGAGAGCAAAAAATGCCCCTCAGAGCTCTCAACTTAGCAGTGAGCTTCTTTGCCCCAATGCTTTTTCTTATCCCAAGCAATTCATGTCTTTCTTCACATAATGCTTATTCCAAGTTACATGTTTGTTCATGTTGGCTCAGGAATTATTTGAAACCATACTTCAGCTACTGCAGGTCCAGGATTCAATAAATGTTACCCCCTCCTCAATTACAGAGGATAAAGTGAGGTGTGGACTTTCTCTATATATCCACATTTTATCATGAAAGTTGATATGCTGAAAGAATACAGCAATATTTTCTAGGGAGTTAACCCTGGAAACAAAGCAAGGCAAATTAAAGCTGAATTTCTCCCTCTCACTGTTAGTCACCAGATAGTTTATTTTAAGCTGGGAAGGTTCTGAAGAAATCTTACAATAGGAGGGAAATTACATACAAATGTTTAATTAGAAGCTTTTTTTCCACGCTGAATGATAATCCTTGAAGAATTTGTGGGCTTAATTGGTGTTGCTCTACTCCTTCTTCTTTTGCAGCTCTAAAAAAAGACCAGGGATGAGCTGATATGAAAGGGAAATTACCATTCAGGTGGGAAGGCGGTGTGATGGTGAAGGCAAAAGTGGGCAGGGAATTGAGAAGAAGGATCTGTGGAGGTGGAGGAAAAGGCAGTCGTGAGAGGAAGTCTGAAAGTCTGGCGGGCAAAAGTTGGGGCTGATATTGAAATGTGCTTTCAAACCCACCCCCCAAGCTCTAGGAATGGTCAGTCTATCCAGAAGCTGCAGTACGCCCAGATAGAAGGAACTGTTAGAAACGTTTTCCCTCACGAGCTTTTAGTGATAATATATAACAACTGGAGTCCAGTGGGCATTTGTTATTGTGAGTTCAGAAGCCAGCTTGCAGAGGGAAAGGAAATCACCATTCATGATGTCCTCCCCAAGGACTGCCCTGCATAGTAACAGCTGTAAGAATGGATGACAGAATATCAAAATAATAAGGCAGCAATATGAGGCTTTTCCTCAGCCCTTCCCGTACACTGTTCACAGAATGAAAATACAGAGGTTAAGTACCCACATCATTAAGAAACCTTAAAATCAGAGGCTAACTTTAACCTCAGCATTAAATATTGAGGATCCAGCTGAATGTTCTTTGCAAACACACTTTTCATTCCAGCCCTCACTTGCTGAATGTGCTCAGTACATTGAAAATGCTCTATCACAGAGAGGAGAATTACTTGACACGGAGTTCAGAATCAGGCTGTAATTCCCTGTGCCAAAGCAGAAGGGTCCACATTGTGGAGATGGAGCACTAACAGCCACATTATTGCCAAGTCAGCATTTTCTTTACGTTATCCTTTGCTTTATTATATTCCTGTGTTTGAACCTGATGGAGCAGCCAACTTTTTTTCTTATGAAGTAGTTTTGATCCCTCGGCTTTCATGGAGGTGTTCTTGCAGAGGACTTTATAGGGCACAAACCACGTGGTGGTGAACAAGCTGTATCACATTGGGTGGCTCCAGCTAAGGCTGGCAGTGCTGTCATCCAAAACGTTTGAAAGAAAAATGAGCAAAACGTATTTTGCCCAGTGCATACATCTGAAATTCAGCTGAAGCACATATGGAGTAATATAACTTTGTCACATAATTGCATGTAAACCATATAGATTGAAATACACCCCTCTCCACACAAACAGGAAAAAGAGGACCTCACCTCATCTGTGAATACAGAAGCTATTTTGGGGCTAATTTTGCTATAGTTGGGAAGATTTGTGGCTTGGGAGAACAATTCCAAAAAATCTCTGCTAATCCTTACTGAAGCGAGGTCAAAGCAAGCACTGCAGAATGGGCTTCTTCAGCTCCAGCTCCAAAAATTCACTGTGCATTTTTTATCAGTGGGGCATTCTCTATGATGCTGTGGAAGAGAAAAATAACCTTAATGCAGCTTAATATTGGCTGAGGTGGGCTAAGAAATAGAAGCAGCAACTATCAGGATACTAACGGGTGATAATTCAGATAGTAATTGAATTTCTTCTATTTTATCTGGACTATTCAAATAAACCATGGCTAGGTTATTTTTTTGTTTGTTTATTTTAGGGCTAGGGCTTATTTTCTTTTTAATGCCATCATGATTCATTAGTTCAGATGGTATCTTGACCGTGCATGGAAACATCTCTCACGATCCAGTGTCATAGAAACTAATACATATTGCTGCCTGTTTCTGTCTGAGCAATGAAAAGAGCATCAGAAGTTAATGAACTACACTGCTTCTTCTGATGGTCTTGAGATTTCCTTTCCCCTTTCCTTTCCCTTCCCCTTTCCACTTTCCTTTCCCTTTTCCTTTCCTTTCCTCCTTCCCCCCTTCTCTTCTCTCCTTTACTTTCTTTTCCTTTCCTTTTCCAAGAAAACTCAACAGCAAGTTAGCTAACAATTTTGCAAATTAATTTTCCATTTTTATCTTTACAATGGATGATCCCTCAACTCCTGACAGCAACCCTACCTGTGCCCAGCAGCATTTCCAGGCCTGACACCAGCTGAAGTGGGAAGGCACATACCTGAATCATTGTAGCCCATTTGGATCATCCTCACTCCCAGGACTGGGTGGCTGTGAAATGAGTCCTGATCTGTTCTAATTTCCAAGCACAGATTGAGAAATGCAAGTTCACACCATCTGCAGTGTGCAGGACCATGCCAGGGACAGCACAACCCTTGTGAACACAATTGGCTTTATGTGGTCCATCTCTTGGTGATTACGTCTCTCCCATGCCCAGGAAACGACTGTTTCCTGTCCTTGCAGTAGTTTGAATTCGTCCCCTCAGTGTTTTCCAGGATGGCCAGCTGCCTGCTCAAATACCTGGAGGATATTTGCATCTTTCACTCCATCAGCCTGCTCCTGCAGGACCTGAATTTATGTTGCTTGGTCTGTAATTTTTCCATGGACAATATCCATGGAGCAGCACACACACAGTTCAAAACGATAGCTGTTGTACAACAAACCTTTATTACCTTTCAGAAGCAGTTAAAGCACTCTTTACTGGTTGCTTTTCTTTTAGACATTCTTCTTTGACCCTTCATAAAGCATTTCAGAGGATTTTTTCCTTTCCTCTTCTTTTCAGTTTCTGAGAAACATCCATAGTGAAAATCCTGGCTTTCAGTTATCGCAGAAAAAGGCCATAAATAACAGTTCCAGCAGTGCCTGGCACTGCTGAGAATCTGCAGTGTGAACTCTCCCCTCAGCTTTTTATTATAGGCTTTCATTCTGTTGAAATCTATCAGTGATAGACTTACTTACCCTCCTGAATCCATGAGATCTTATTATAACAAGAAGAAGGGCGATGATAACAAAACAGATTGGAATCCTTATTGCAGCACACGTTCAGTGCTGACATACTCTATGCTGTACTCTTTGTCCAGGGATTTGGTGGGGATCATCATCCCTGGAGGCGTCCAAAAGCCGTGGAGATGTAGCACTGAGGGCTGTGGTTGGTGGGCATGGTGGGGTGGGATGGAGTTGGGCTTGGGGATCTTAGAGATCTTTTCCAACCTTAGTAATTCCATGATGCTACGATTCTGTGTGAGTCTATGGTGAACGTGGTTTATTTTTTTTTTTCCTACGAAAGGAAGTCATTAAAAGGACTCCTGGAAATGCAAATCTATCACACTAATAATTCAAGACAGGGAGGGAATGCTCGTATCTCCTCCAGACATCTGAGAGAATAGTTTAGTCTGTTAATTAATATAAAACAATTATGCCCGTATTCCACTTCTTTATTTTGCAAAGATTATTAACTGAAGAATGTGCTGTGTTTAAAATGCACTAAATTGATGCAGTTTACTATAGATCCACTCTTTCGAGACTACAGATTGAAGAGGTAACCTGGTAAGTCTGAAATTTGACAGGTCCAGTAATTAAGAATGTGTGAGCAGACAAATATTTTGGAGTGGATTTTCAGTTGTGCCCAAGGCAGACTCTGCACAGCAGCATAGTGATTAAAGAGCTAATTTCAAAGCAGCACGTCCAGGCACTATTTGGTATTTGAGACAGGCTGTTTTACCTCAGAAAGGAAATGTTATTTCTGTGGGTAGGTACATGGTACAACAGGAGGGCAGTTAGGTTTCCAAGCACTGAAAATGCTTTCAGACAAATCAGTGATTCCAAAATATCCCTGCTCTTCATCAGCCTTGGAAACCACTAAAAAAAAAAAAAAAAAAAAAAAAAAAAAAAGCCTGATAAAGTCTAATAAAAAAATTATTTTCCCAACCAACAGGCCATCATTTGAAAAACCTCATTTTCTGAAATATATGTATCTCAAAGCATCAGCCTTGCTATCTCAAGCCAGCACTTCAGACATCACCACTCCTTGTGTTTCTGCAGCTCGAATCTCTCCTGGGATTAGTTCTGTTTCCATCATTTGAGATCATTCAGGCTTTGGTGTAGCAGCCTTCAAGTCTGAACAGGGAACTCCTTTTGGAACTAGAGCAGAAAAAGAAAATCTGTGATCCCTGGAAGCAAGGTCTGTCTTCATAGGCAGAATACAGAGCTGCAGTTTGCATCTGCAGGTAAATAATGAGAAAAAACAAAGCCCTACTCGAGTTGACACCGTCAGTGTGGTGTCAGACAATAAAAAGACTTTGACAATTATAGTAACAGCAAGAGGAGATCTAAGGAAAACATTGGACTGGTAGTTGGTCACCAAATAGAAAAGAAGGTGGCATTTAATGGTGTTTTTTCCCCCCTATTTTTTTTTGTTAATAATGATAGATCTTTAGCTACTCCATTCTGCTCCACCCTACCCTATTCTATTCCACTCTATTCCATCCTAATCTGCTCTACTCCATCCCATCCCATTTCCCTCTCCTGCCTGTGAGTTCTACACTGTTGCACCTGTCCTTCAAGAACCGAGTTGGGGTGATTGGATTTCACTCTAATGAATTAAAAATAATTTTCTTAATTAAAGCTCGAATTTTCTCTCATTCTACCAGTCACATATATGTACACAGTGTTACATTCAATTGAACAAGCACATAGTTACACTAAAAATTAAGGGAAGGTCAGGAATTTAGTCCATAATTTAGCAGTAATTCCTGCCCCTTCAGCGCAAATAATTTTGCCTGCAAATAATCTTGCCAGCTATTTTGCATAGTTGGTACAAATCATCTACAAAGACATCATTACAGAAGCCTCTGCTCATCGTTATTTCACCAAAGAGTGCCAAGTGATGCTATGGGTGGCATTTCAGCCAGTCGCAGCACACATCCTATGTCTGACAAAAACAGAATGCATTTTATGGCCTTCAAAGCCTTAAACTTTTATACATAATAACACATGCCAAAAGCTAAAAGAATAAATATTACGGATTAATGAATTCATAGAGCTTTTTCCCCCAGGACAGAAAACCTTTTGGAAAGCACTAAAAGGAACAGACCTGAATATTGCGATATGAAATAGCCACCTTTTTATTTTTCTCATTTGACTCCTGTACTTTTATTGCCACTGATTTGGATGAAAATGGACATGTTGTGTCGTTATTTCTGCTTGTTTAATAAGATTTTTGTTGGAAGTTTCAGCTTTAAATGAAAACTCAGTGCATAGATAGCTGATCTAAAAATGAGAGAGGACTTTGTCCCAAAGGTAGCCAATTCCTTGCCTTTCTGAGACCAATAAGGGCTCACCTTCTTATATTTTCAGAATTTTGAAACATGCAAAGCGTGTTTCAAATGTAAAACATTCATCTGCTTTTCTTAAAACCTCAAGCATAAAAGCAACACTTGAGGTATCCTACAGAAAATCAAACAGCACTTAAAAAAATAAAAGCTACTTGTAATGATGCTTTTAGCAAACGAAATAACCAGCATTAAGCAAACCTCCAGTGCTTGCTGATGAACAGCATAACCCTCCACTCAGTTAAATGATCCTTTCAGTGGCACGGTGAGGTGAGGTAAAAGCAAAGGAAGGTGTCAGTAGTGCAACCATTTCAAGTCTTAGAGCAGCATTCAAATTATATTTGCAGGGAGGCATGATGACTTGGGGATGCGCAGTTTAAAGAACGATTCAAAAGTAAATACATTCATAATCAGGAGGATTTTTTTCACCTCAGCCACGTGGAACTGCATGAAAGCAGTCGTAACGATGAAGGAGAAGGACTATAAACGGCACTGATCAAGTTTAAAAGCTCACAGCATTTGTAAAGAGCACAGAGATGGATAAGTGCTAGAGGAAAGTAACTCTTTTGCTGCAGTTTGGTAGATTACTTAACTGTAATTAAAATAATCTGCTGCCAGCCTTCCTAGCATGAACTTTCATTATAATACAAAATTGTACTTGAAATTAATTACTGTATGTCTCAACTCATCAGGAACTGACTTTTCTGACACTTGGAATGTCAATTCTGATGACAACAATGCTGAAAGCAGGCATTAAACTTGCCCAGGTTTCCTCCCTTACCTCTCAGGAACTGCTGTAGTGCAGTGACCTGGACTGCTGAAGACACTGAGTGCTTTGTTTATCCAAAACTACCAGGAAATGCTCCCTGCCTCCCTTGGCAGTGGAGACTCGTGATGGTAGATGGCACATCTACTGGCTTTGCAAACTCCAATTCCCGGTGACTCAACCAATGCTCTCCCCAATGCATTGCATTTCCAAGTATGGTGAACGTTCCTCCTAAAGCTGAGCTTTTCCAAGCCTGTAGCTGAAGCACAGAAACGTTCATAAGGAATCTGTCAGCAGTCGTAAGTCATCGCTTACAATGCGACCACACTCAGTTTTCATAATTTGACTTGAAGGTGAAAAATAAAAATCCTTAAGGAAAGAAAAAGAAAAGAAATTGAAATCACAAAGCTCCTTACACAAATGGAACTTTAAAACAGGTTTTTTTCCATCTCCCAGAGTGGAGTGTTAGGTTGGATATTAGGAAACATTTATTCTCTTTAAGAGCAGTAATGGACAGGCATAGCTGCCCAGGGGGGTGTTGGGGTCAAATGTGGAGATGTGGCACTGAGGGATGTGGCGGGGGTGGGTTGGCTTTAGATGTGAGCATTTTAGAGGTCTTTTCCAACCAGAATGATTCTGTGAATCTACGGTTCTATGAATAGTTAGTCACCCACATTCAATTATGTATTTTTCATTTCAGTTACTGTGGAAGGCATTCAGTGCCAGAAAAAGCAGCAGCCACAAGATCCCAGCCATTTGGTGTAAAATAACACTGTTCAATGGCTCCTGCTGTTGTGTGGACACATCAAACGTGGCACTTTCTGAAGGTGCTTCTGAACAGCATATTCATTTTTCCACTGCAGTCCTTCTTTACATCACCACAGCTCAGCCAGAAGCGTGTTGATTTTTAGCTAGAGTTTATTTAAGGAAAAGTGGGAGGAAAGAAATTAATTATTGGGTCATGCAGAGCTGTTCTTTGGTTTCGGCTTTGTGCCGGCGTTTCTCTCTCAAATGAATTTTTGAATCATTTTATTAATGGAAATGTGGGCAGTTAGACTTGAAAACATAACTCCTTACTGGCTCAAATGAGAATACGAAGTAATTAAATATTTTATACCTTCCTTAAAGCTTTATTCTGCTCTCTTTCAGCCATCATAAAGCCTTTACCTCAGTAGCCAACCTGACTTTTTTCTTCCACTTTGACACTGCCCAGCGCTGCTCTCTCACATCCTCACACATTCTTATACACATCCTACAACTTAAACACTGCTTCAGAAATGTGTGTTCTGGTTTGCCCCTGTCCATGCTCAGCAGCAATTGCCCTCATGCAATTTTGTGGCCTTCCCTAGAAGATGTGGACTGGTATACACTCTGCCCAACCTCTGGCCAATACAGAACACCAGCAAGTTTTGAAATGACAATTCATGATCAAACAAAAATGTTGCCAAAAAAACCCAAAAAACGCAGTGGGGCTGACACTCCCAGCAGCACTGTTTGAATGTGTGCCTGTAGCAACAGGACAGAGGTGTGATGACAGAAGGACAAGCACAACAGAAAGATGCTATAAAGGAAGGGAAGAAGATTGCTCACCTGTATCCAAAGATTCCAGGTCTATAGGAAAAAAACATCATCAAGGACAGACGTCCAGAAAAAGATCCCTCCCCAGTGGCAGTCAGCCCTTAAATGAGGTATAAGAGAGGTGCAGCCAGGCTCCACCCCTTCCACTTGCACAGCTGAATTGCCTTCACCTGTGCTCCCAGGGCTGACTGGGTCCATTCCCCAGGTGCTCAATCAGTGCTTCAGGCTGTGTCTCAACAGTTCTCATGCCCTGTGCTGCATAGAGCAGGGCTCTGCTGCTGGCCTCCTGGCTTAGCAGGTATTCTGCCACTAGAGTAAGGGAGCCTAACACAGCTCTATGGACTGCATGGGGAAACACCCTGATTCTCCACTGCCATCCTAACTGCATGTTGCCTTCTCTCCTCTTGGCTGGGACAAAAAGTTCAGGTTCTTACATTCCTTTCCTATATCCTTCACAGCTGCTCTATGATTTCTGATTCAAAGGCTGGATCATTTTACTCCAGGAAACAAAGACTGCTGTAGTCTTCATGCAGCACCCAGTGACCATAAGAGAATCGTGGAATCATAGAATGGCCTGGGTTGCAAAGGACCACAATGCTCATCCAGTTTCAACCCCCCTGCTAGGGTCTCTAGGGTGCAGGGTCGCCAACCAGCAGACCAGGCTGCCCAGAGCCACATCCAGCCTGGAGGAGGAGCATCCAGCACATAGGCAGTCTCCAGTGCCAGCCATGCTGTTGCTGAGGCATTGTCAGGCTATGCAAGTGATCACAGCTCCCCAGAGGATCCAACAAAATCAGACTTGTGAACTCACAAAGATTTCCCATTGCTTTGTAGTGAGATGCTAATTAGCTCATTCTGAACAATTGCTGCTTAAGGCTTGCCCCTCTTTGGAAGGTGAAGGTAGGCATTACTCCAGCAATCTCACCAGCCAGGATTGCATTATCTGATACATGGTTAATAAGAAAGCATGCAGGTAGAAAGTAAACCATTACATAATGCATGATGACAGGATGTCAAATGGGAAAAAATAACAGCATCCATGCACCACACAGCACAACTGAAAGCCAGTATTCTATTAATTCGTATCTTGTAGTTGACTGTGGTCTCCGATCACAGAATCCTAGAATCATTCAGGTTAGAAAAGACCTTTATAATCCCCAAACTCATCCTAAAATTATGAGACATGCCCCAATGGCTGGAAAAGTTCTTCCTGGCTTCTCTAGCACATGAACAGACAGTGGAGCTGTTCTTTTCATAAACACATAAAGACTGGAAGGGACAGTCCTACCTGCCACCCAGCACGGTGGAAAAGGCAACTGCATCCCACGCATGGCCATGTCAAATCTTCCTGCAAAATGTGTGACCTGCGTAGAAAGGAGTCAGTCCTGGGCTGATGGGGCACAGCGCAGAGCACTCTATCCCCATGTTTCATCAGGAGGATAGTGATTGCAGCATGGCTTTTTTTCCAGAGTTGCCATAAGTAGGTATTTTGGGCAGGTGAGTGAAAAGCCGATGGCTGTGGTAGAAACTAGGGCTGACTTCATTCTTTAATTTTACTGGTCTAAGACTAAGTTCTTAAACTCAAAGCACACACATAAATACACAGTTCCTTTTGTTTTCATCTCTGACACTCAAAGAAAGCCAAATTCAGAAAGCCAATTCAGTCAAAATGATGCACATCCCTGGGAAATGATGATCTCTTAAGCAAGAGTGTCTGAGAGCAAACCAAAAGGTGCATCAGAGAGGATCCATCTCTCTGAGAATAAGTATTGTAAAACAAACAAACAAAAAAATTTAAAAGAGCCATTCTTCCTATAGATGATACTGAAGTTGATGCAGTTTGCCAGAATATTTCTCAAACAGTCCAAAATGTGATTACTTTTGTGGATGAAACTATTCCAAGTCAAACACAGCTGAGGTGAAATGTATTGCAGAGAAATCATGAAGTTTCTTGGCTTTATTTGCTTATATAAAGAGTCAAGCCATTAGTTGACAGAGCTAGGCTGGCTTAAGTGGAACTGTGCTGCTTTCAGCCTGCAGATGTTGCTTTGTTATGCTGTGTATGTATACAAATTCACTGTAGACAGACTGACAGCCTTGAGAGGTGGTGTGATAGATGTGGTCCATGGCGCCTCTGAAAGCCACTTGGTTCTCACAGGTGTGTCATGGCAGACCTGTTTGCAATGTATTGCACTGTTGGCTATAAAGACTTTCCTACAGAGATACAGACCTCTCACATTGATGCCTTAGAGCGATTGCTTTCTCTTCTGTAGCCTCAGCTCTACACTCTGCTCTTTTCTACTTGGCATGCAAAGCAGCTGTCCTTGGCTTTGATCGCTCTTCCTTTCTGTCTCCCACTGAGTTCAACCCCATTATTTTTGTCCCCTCTGCTATGCCCTTTCCTGTCATCTCTGCCCCCTCTTCTTGCTCTCTCAGGCCTTTCATCATGATCTCGGCAGGTAATGCCTCTCCTATTGACTTCAATGGGCAGTAGATGTGCCCTACCTCCTGCAAAGGTTCTGGCTCACATTAGGCACACAATTACAGCTTTTGGGGACAGTGTCACTTATCCAAAGGACAAACTGGTGTTTCAGATAGCCCATTTCTGTAAATAAATATTAAATCCAGAAAATAAAGATTGATTCAAACCATCTCTTTGCACCGCTTATAGGAAAAATCTGATGTGCTGAGCTATCTCTTAATGCTGCACAATTGCAATCCTATTCCATTAGAAGTCATTGATTAAATGTCTGATTAGGAGCTGCCCACATATATATGGTGTTTATATATAGTGGAGGGTTGGGATTTTGATGAACTCATTAATACACCTCTTATTTATGAAAAGCTACAATGGCTTTGCTGATGAAAGCTAAGTCTATTCTTTTGCTTTACTCTGTACTTTCCTGCAGGGAAAAAAAAAGATCAAAATTATTCTATCTTTTCTATATTTTTTCATATTTCAAGTGTTCTGGATGGATACCTCATTTGCTTTCAGCATCGCATATTCTCTTTCGACATCAGAGGATACAGTTTCTGAGCTTTGCAGAAGTTTTAGCTGCTCAACTACCATTAAAGTCAATTGGATCATGTGGCTCAAGTAAGGTATAACAATTGGAGAATGCACTCCGGGGTTAAACTGCTGTACTTGAGCTATTAGATTGAAAGAATTATCCATCTTCCAAAACACAACCTGCATTGCTACAGCATGGTGCCCCCTATTCATCACCTCCAGACACTGACAGCTGCTTTCAGCCCTGGTGTAAATGAAGTTGCCGTATCATTTGAATCACGCAGCTTAAGCCAGAGCTGGATCTGTCCCACACAGAGCTGCTGAGTTTTCAATGCAAAAGAGGCCCAGGGTAATTGGCACTGGTCTGTGAGCATCGCAGGAAAGAGAAAGAAAAGGAGTTATTGAAATAAAGCGGAGAGACTCTCCTCTGAAAACTGGAATGAAATGAAAACAGAAGGAAGAACAGAGTTTGTGGTCCTTCCCACACCTGGCTCTTCAGAGCATCCTCTTCCTGCTGGCATCAAGGGCTGCAGGGCTGAAGCAGGTGATGCGATGGTCAACTTTTAAAAACTTGGGAAGAACTCTTCACTTTCAGAGCAAGAATTTGCTGTTAAAAATGGTAATTATGGTAGCAGGACAGTCTTCTTTTCTTGGATTTTTGTGATTGAAGAAATTATCTTTCTGCCCAAGACAATAAGGTATTTTTATAGACTGCACCTAATTGCACAGCAACAGCAGAATGGGAAGAAGCCACAGACCTCAAACAGGCTGTATCTCGTTCTTCCAAAATGAGAGGCAGAACTAATCAGTCTGCAGAAGGACTCAGTAACCAATTAACTAACTCCTAGCAGTCAGTAAAATAACCCTGGTGAGAGAGGGAAGCTAATGAAGCTACCATGTCAGCTTTACAATGAGATCCCTTGATACCTGAAAATATAAAACATTTTTATACTCATTTTCTGTACATTTTCCAGCCCATTTCCTACCATAAAATGAAATAATGTGCCAATAAATGCAGTATTTAAAATTGTGTGCCTTACTGTGCTAACGTTCAGGCTGGATATGCCATGGGTAAGCCAAAGAGCACTGCCATACCTGGAAAAAAACAAAAGATTTTCCTACACATGGTGATAACTGCTTAAGTGTATGAGCACTGTCCTTGTCTTGATCTAGAGTCATAGAGTCAAAAGGCTTGGAGAAGACCACTAAGATCCTCCAGTTCAACCATTCAGATCTGAGCTCTTCCACTCTATTGTTTTCACATGTGATGTTTTATCTTTGGTCCTGGGGCAAAGTCACCCCTTGGTAATTTCTGTAATACTGATCCTCCTGAAGACAGTGATACAGGTTTATATAAAATGGGTGACAGAACGAAGACAAGTTACCATGTTTCATGTTTCACAGCCCACTGCTCTTCTTGTGATGTCTAATTGCTGGAAAACCCTGGGTAGATCAAGATGCAATGTTCCCACCAGATCCTATACACATGAGTGGATCCATGGGACCCACTCTGGTTTTGCTGATTCACTTGAATTCAATCACATAAAAAAAGTGACTGCTTTTCAGCATAAAAGTTCATCGTGATCTTCCTATCATCAACATCCATGTGGAAGCACCCTGCCTTGGATCAGCTGAATTGCTTTGATCTTACCTGCTGGATTGCGAATCACAGAATCACAGCATCACCAAGGTTGGAAAAGACCTTCAAGATCATCCAGTCCAATCATCCACCCATCACCAATAGTTCTCACTAAACCACGTCCCTCAACACAAAATCCAAACGTTCCTTGAACACCTACATGGTCAGTGGCTCCACCACCTCCATTCCAGTGCCTGACCACTCTTTCAAAGAAGTAGTAAATGGGTAGCAGGAGCTTTGGAAAGCCTCAAAACCTTCTCCTTCGGGTAACCATGTGCCTGGCACATGAGAAGAATGATGGTTCCCTGTCCCAAACACCAGATTAATTGCTTTGATCATGTGGCCTAGCCTTGTCCGCCATGAGTTCTACATCTGTCTTTTCTTATTATTAAATAAGAAAATTGTGAACAAAGTTCTTGTTTCCTGT